CCGAGCCCGGCCCAACTCAGGTGTGCATTGGTCACTCTCAGGTGAGAAAAGGCGGGTGCTTCCACAAATTCTAAGGCGTCTGACCGGAGAAGCAATACGTAAAGACGTACGGAGAAAGTATTCAGGGGAGAAATGGCAAAGTGCGCTTAACTTATACAAATGTACCTGTGTCATATTAATTGTAGAATTTCAATGGCGCCGGGCGTCTATACGTCTACCTTGCAGTATTCAGTAGACGTTAGTACTATAGTAGTGCATCCACTTGCAATTTCATGTATCGTGTGTTCACGTACTTTGTACATTTATGCTCAGACGAGAGACGTTGGCGGAAGATGATCACGTTATAATTATATAACGTGAAAGCTATCCAGGAATTCTTCCAGTGAAGTGTGCAACCTACTAGTACGTCCCTCAACAGTAAATTCCCGATACCAACAAAATAATCATGCAATAAATTAAAAATACATGAATGTTTGAAAAAATGACTCTATACTGTCAGGTGATTTTTTTTCTCATTGTCTTCGTCAGAAGGACTATGAAATTGTCTCGCCGGAGTGTGGGGAACTGCGGATTTTGCGATATAACTCTGGAAGGCATGATTCGACGTCCATGATTTTTGGCAGGCAGATTACCGCTGTTAAGGCCGAAGTCAAGTACAAGTTTTGGCTTCGTGGGGGGTCCGTGCGTCACGTTAGTGCACCTTTTGTGTTTGTGGCTTGTTAGCAAGATAACTCAAGTATTTGTAAAATGTTGATTATAATTCTTGGTGTGGTGCTTACTATTGTCGGGACCAAGGTTAAGTTCGTTACTGAGCTTCGTGGGGGGTTTCGTTGTGACGACAGGGGGCATTTTGTTAATTTTTCTTGTGAGCAGGATAACTTTTGAATGTGTGGATGGAAGTTAATGAAATTTGATAGGCATATTACTGTCGTGGACTCCAAGATTCAGTTCAAAGATGATAGTCGTGGAGGTCGTTATGTCCCCGTAATAGGACCTTTTGTGTTTAGAAATCCCCCACCTACATCTGCTTGGAGACAGCCGACAGCTGGATATAGCGGGGAACCCCATAATGGGATGGGATCAAATGACGTTACATTGAGGGATTGTACTATAACTTCAGCAGGGGGAGGATAGGTTGGACATATGTCAGGTTATTTTCTACGGCCACACCAAGTAATTGCTATGGATGACGTCCACTGGAGACCTTAAATCTAATTACCTTAAATTTAAGGCAAGCGCGCAATAAAAACACGAAGGGCCGAAAAACGAGATGCCTAGATTTGGAATATACTAACTGTAGAAGTACAAATGTTAGGACACAAAGAACACAAGAAACAAGTCTTCTATTTGTCATAAAGACAAATTAACAAAAGAGCAGTAGTCACCCTGTTCTGATTCTTTCCTTTATAACATCTTCTCTTATTATATTTTGCGGCGCTGTCGTGACACTTTCAACACAGTCACAGAAGAATTTCTTGAACGTTTTTTCCAGTAACAGTCCAAACTCAAATAACGTAGGGGGGGGGGCTAACACGGGTGACGACGCATCTGTGGCAAACCGTTTCAGGGTGTTCTGTACCATAAAAATAGTACAGAGATTCTTTTGTTCTTTAGACCAAATTGATTATTAATAAAAAGATTGAAGAATACGCATGTTAATTTCTCTAGAACGATGTACCTCTGACGAAGACATGAGATCTCCGACCTCTAGTTGAAAATGAAAACTCTTTTGTTTCATATTTATTCTGGTCATGACTGAAAAGTGAAATGTTACATCAAGGAGGTTTCAAATTGTAGAAACAGCATATGTTGCCTGGAACATAGTAACTTGCTCGTTATAGGTTACAAAAAGTGCAAAAAAACAACAACAATTCCTTCAAAGGCAACATAATGACTGTAAAGATGACTTATCTAAAGGGGTTTAAAATTTGTACTACATTAGAAAATAAAGAACAGAAATATGTCCGTGACTTCTAAGTTGTAGAATTAAATTTTATTGAATTTCTTGTGGACAATTTTTTTAAGTAGTTGTGTATCCTAACCTTCTTTCAAATTCAAACTAGTGATGTGTTCTTGCTGTGTTTGTCATATCCATGTCTGTCCAGTATTATATAAATCATATATCTTGAAGTTGACACAATACTGCATGTGATCACCCCACAGATGGCAGAAATGACTGACCCGAACTTCGTGGCGGCCGGCGGAGCGACTCAGGCCTCGGGACAGCAGAGTGAGGCCCAGCAGCTGCTGCAGACCTTCTGGCCCAGGCAGCTACAGGCCATCCGAGTCATGAACCCTGTAGGTTTTGTGCTAATTATCCAAGCAGATGTTTCTTTGATTTGCATAACCAGTCCAACCTAGCATCTGCCTGGAGATTAGTTTATGCCACCACACTATTGATGGACCATCAACTTCATATACAGCTCATTGCAATCACTCTTTATCCCCTAATGATGAAAATTCGGTGGTTGTGTTGGATTGTTTTTATGATTTTTTTGTATTGTAAGAAGTGGGGTTCTCAATATGATTGCTGATTTTGATGATTTTTCAAGTGTCCATGTCTTTGCTATTGCAGGCAGACTTCAAGGTCCAGGAGCTACCCTTAGCTAGGATCAAGAAAATCATGAAACTGGATGAAGATGTCAAGGTAAGAAGTGAAACGATTTAGCTTTATCCTATGATGTGAGATTGTGAATAGGTGTCTGAGAGTTAGACATGTACACTGTGCAGGGATGGCATAATTATATGTTTTTCTAGTAGTATGCTGTACCTGGAACCTGTTGCTTTTGTACCGAAGGAGATTGCAATGCAGCAGAAATTTTGTTGAGGCTTTTGCTGAAAAATGTATAAAAAAACACTATTTAATATAAAAACTGCTTGTTACTGTAACACTGTGCCATGATTGGTCTTGTCTTCTGTACCAGATGATCAGTGCGGAGGCCCCACTACTGTTTGCAAAAGCTTGTGAGATTTTCATCAGTGAGCTGACCCTCCGTGCCTGGGTCCACACCGAGGACAACAAGAGACGAACACTGCAGGTAAAAGATCAACAGTTGAATCACTAAAGCATAAAAATAATACACAGAATTAGAATAACGTATTATTGGTCATTATGAGACCATAGAAAACTTTTAGCAACTAAAATTTGTAAATCTAATAAACCAAATCTAGTAAGTGTTTCTGGAAGCTTTTGAATGCAATCAAAAGAAATGCAATTGGTAGTACATGTACAGACACCTTCTCAAAGCATCTTAATGTTGTATTGTGTTATCTTTCGGTTGCAGAGAAATGACATTGCCATGGCCATCACAAAGTTTGACCAGTTTGACTTCCTCATTGACATTGTGCCAAGGGATGAGCTCAAACCACCAAAGAGACAGGTAACCTTTTCTGTAACTGCCTTTAGTGAGGACAAGAGCTGTAATGTCAAGATACACTGAACTCATACACAGTATTTTTAAAATCTAACATAATATATGTAACTCAATGAATACTCTTATAAAACCAACGTGATATATTTTCATATCACCCAGTAAATGGGCATGCTCAACATTGTATTTCAACCACCAAGACTCTTTGAGGCAAAACTTCATACATATTACCAGTAATCTATCAAATAGTTTGAAAGCAGTGCCAGAAGACCAGCGTAAATTACTTCTTTGTACTAGGACTTGATTTTGTGCCAGGAGCGGAAGATGGTTTTTGCTGTGTTTTAACTTTGCAGTTGAAATAATTCTGTGCAGTGCTATATTTATTGCAAAACAATGGTAAATATTTATTGGTAGTGTCATGAAAACCATGAAAAGAAGCCACAAACCTTTAGAGATTTATTGGATGAAGTGATTTTAATTAGTTGTTGACGCCCTGCATGTTAGGAGGAAGTACGACAAGCGGTCATGGCCCCAGACCAGGTCCAGTACTACTTCCAGCTGGCGCAGCAGCACGTGCAGATGCAGCAGCCGCAGCAGCAGGCTGTCGGACAGATCCAGCCGCAGACGGCGCAGCCGGTCCAGAGCCAGATCATTTCCCAGCAGCAGCAGGTGGGGAGTACTTTTCCTCAAAATACTCCTTCCCCTCTGCAACCTCCCGCAGCTCAGCAGCAGATCATCTCACCACAGCCACAACAGGTGTGCTCCTCTTGCCCACACTATACTACTAACTCCTATCTGCTAACACTTCTTTGATCCTTGAATCTGATTTACTCGTATTGTTTGCCTATCCTCGTGACATTGTACAGCTGGAAGAGTACTCTCCATATTTGTGTAATTTAACATTTCTTCACTCATTCTACTGTATGTCTTATGAGTTATGACTAGTGCTGTGTACCGATAACACATTTTTCTTCATACGTGAAGGTAACATTTGAAATAACCTTTTTGAGAACCATTTAGGTACAGGTCCAAAATCCTGTAGCATTTATATATGAGTACTGTACCTGAGTAAACTTACACATAACTTTTTTACTTATTTTGGTACTAATAATGTGTTCTTCCACAATGATGAAGATTTAGCACTGAAAAAACATGAAAGCATTATGTGGAAAATCTGCTCCATCTTTTATCAGGGAACCTCTAGAAGGCATCTATTCTCTGCATGACATACGTATCACTCACTGTACATATGTGTCCTAAGTCTAAATGAACATACCGGATGTGAAATTTAGGTACACAGCCCTAGTTAGGACACATACTGATATGAAGGAACAGAGGTGTCAGAATATCTGCTAGGAAATCACAAGCATGGTACTTTGACTCCTGATAGTCATCTGTGTGCTGTGTGTGTACCAAGACTTAGACGTACACTAGCCATTCTATCAGGCAGCCCTTGTGTTGGTAAGAGCAGGGGTAGTTTTTGTTACCCATGTTTTGTAACTCTTGCAGAGGGCAGTTGGAGTGCAGGGCCATGGCGGGCTACAGCCAAGCTCACTAACACAACGTTCCAACCAAGTTAGTGTTACACACGATATGTCAGGGGATTTCTTTGTTTGGGGATAGTAATGAAAACTTTACCTAACTTTTAATGTAGCTTTCTTAAGATTAATTTCCTGTAAATGTAGCAATTTCACCCATCGATTGAGTTTTTATGTCAATCACATGTCAATTTACTAATACTTAAAATTTTTACACATCAGCAGAGGTCTGTTTTTAGCTTTTCATCTAATTCATCATGTGAGCATAGATGGGTTTTCAGCTGTGGTGTGCTGTGTTTTATGTGTGTTATTTTATATAAACTTACCATTGTGTCTGAATGCTCTCTATTTAGAGATTCTGTGTTCACATCCATAAGATGATGGGTAGTTTCAATAATTGCCAAGCCCACAATGTTAATACTGCTTAAAAGTATCTGTACAATGTACATGTATCTGAATCGCCCTTCTGCATATACATGTACACCAGCTTTGCAGGCACACAGGGCGGCTTTGCAGGCACGCAGCAGGTTATATTACATTGACCGACCTGTCACACCTAACCTTTGCATATCTGGCTGCCAGTGATGTCTAAAGCTATCTAGTGAGGAATGATCTCTACCAGTGCAGATGAACCTTTAAGCTAACTTTTACTAATCATTACATGACATTGAATTTGTTTGTGGTGGATCAGAAAAGATTGTAGTATGGAAATGAAAAGCAAAAATTGCACTATGTAAAGATTTTATATAAGGAAGTTGGAAGATGTACCCTGAGGAAGAATAAGCCAGTTCACGATTGGAACTGTGCATATGTGACATAAAAAATGAAGGCTGCTAACTTGTAAACAGTTCGTGTCTAGACCTTGCTTGAAACATGCCTATAATGTCCAGACGTCTTTTGATTCTCTCACTCTCAGGGTCCTTTCCCCCAATGCATCATACTACACAGTCATGCACAGTTCAAACTGTGATTAGTAGAAACTGTGAACACAAAACAAAAAATTGTTCACCTGTACCTCTGACTCATCCCACCTATGAGACTTTCTGGTCCATCCTTTTGAAATAGTTCTTTCTTTCAGAGTGACATCATGTTTGAGACCTCAGTTCACGGATCAAATCACCACCTTTGTAGTCTTTGGTCAATCTGTATACTGTAAATCGTGAAACTTTGTGGTGGTTTTGTTTTTGCAGTGTCTCCATCATGAATTGATGCCACGGCAAATATGTCTTCCTTTCATGACTACTTTGCTAAAGATGTATTCATCTTTGAATTTAAAATACTGTAAAAACCTCTTTTTCCCTCCTACCTCGAATGAAAACCAACGTGAAAGCTTTATGATTTACAGTAGCATAAAGCCAGAATGCTTGTTTTTTTTTTCAGACTTCGAAATGAAAATGGTAAGTGGTTTTATCTATCAGGCTGGGGATTCTTATTCCACTACAAATCCTGTAGATTGCCATGCTCTCTGTTTCCGCAGATTGTGGTCCAGCAGAGTCCCATCCAGCAGCAGGTGCAGACCCAGGTGCAGTCGCAGGTGCAGTCACAACCAGCTGCAGTCTCTGTGAACACAGTAAGTCAAAGTATTGCTGAATGTGTTAGGGAACATTTTTTTATTCGTAATACATTATAGAGTCTACATACAGAAAGGCAATTGCAATTTAAATGTTGCAATTTAATTTTAATTGAGTAGTTTTGCATATCAAGCCCTCCTGATGGAAACTGGCACCTGTTCCCCAGGCCCCTGTGATGTCATCTAGTACAGATGTCCAGACGTCGGTACCACAGGTGATCCAGGTGCAGACAGGACCGGGACAGCAGCAGGGCATCCAGACTATCATGGTTCAGCAGACAGACCCAAACACTGGACAGATCCAACACATACCGGTAAGTCCCCCCCTTTCCACAGACAGCGATTGCTGAGTGACGAAAATTTAATTTGTGTGAGCCTTGATTTCATAACTAAAAGATAATATAGAAAATGCAAAGGTATGATAGCTATTTGCCATTGTATCACTGGTTTAACTGCTAATGGTGATAGTTAGGACTGCTTTATTTAGCCAATGTGCTTACAGATGTAGTTTACACCCACAGGTCCAGGTGCAAGGTGGGCAGCTACAGTACATCAGGCTAGCCCAGCCTCCCCAACAACAACAACAGCAACAACAGCAGCCACAGCAAGGGCAGCTTGTACAGCAGATAGCTGTACCAGCTGGACAACAGCAACAACAGCAGCAGCAGCAACAACAACAGCAACAGCAGCAACAGTTCACTCAGTTTACTGCAGATGGGCAGGTAGGTAGACCTGCGTTACTTACTAGTAGTCAACAACCCTAACCACAAAACCGTGTATTTATATATTAAGATGTTAGAGTCTAATGGTCATATCCTGCTCTTCCCACTCCCAGCAATACCTCCTACAGCAAGTGAACATCCCCACCAGTGGGGCTCCTACCCCCCAGCAGATCTTTGTGGCACAGTCCAGTCCCTCTGGGGGAACAGCAGGAACTCAGCAGACAGCACTGCTACAGCAGGATGGACAGCAACAGGACCAGCAACAGCAGACCTAGTGAACAAGCCTGGAGCAGTAACAACTGTGTTTGTATTTTAAACATGATATACCACATCATATTTACAGAAGATAAGTATAGAGTCTATGACCTTCTTTGGGCAGCATTATGGTATACTAGCAGAAGTTTGGTAAGAAAAATGGAAATTTTAATGTCCTCTGGCCTCAAAATACAGCAAAATAGCAATGTTGAAAGTAAGAGGAATAATAAACTGTGTAAGGACAATGGACAAGTTTCCAGAAAAGTTGCAAAAGAGGGGCAACACAGTCAATAGCATCATCTAAATGTTACTGACAAGTACAATAAAATTAAGGATACACATTGTATCAATGTAGACCAGCATCCATTGGAGATACCCTACAAGGCCAACGTGAACATAAGTGGGCAGGATATATAGTGTATTTCTCTATGACAGACATTCGGAATGTTTCTCTCTGCATCTTCGCTTCAACATGATTTTGAATGGTTCAATATATCAGGAAGAGCCTATCAGAAGCTTCTTTCTTTCTTCCACTTCATTTTTATTACCATCCCAACCAGTATTACAAAAGTTCTATGCTAACATTCCTAACATTCCTATTTTGAAACTATTGCCAGCCTCTTAAAAGTAGTTGCTTTTGTCCACTTAATAAGTCATTAGGCCAAGTCAGAGGACTGCAAACATTTTGTAAAGGATTTTTGCTGATAGATTCACCTGTGCTTAATATCTCAGATTCATTCAGATATATGTTGTAATTAACCTCATTCCTGCCACCTACATGTAACCCAGTAACCAATATAAATTTGGTGCCAAATGGCTTCTTCAGCAGGAACAGGGTTAACATGTATTTATCACTGCGAGTTAAAATCACCAGGTACTTCCTGCAGTGCATAAATCACCTCATTTCCAACATCTTATGTAGGCTGTAGCTGATCATACAGGTTACTATATGTGAACATTTTCCTACACAAAAGAACAGTAGGACCTTGTGTAAAGTATGATAACTTGAATTTGTAATTACTACATGGTCATGGATGTTATTTGATTTACCCATCCCAATCTCAGTTGTAGTTAGTTCTATAGTTTTCAGCCAAGTAAGAGGGTCAAAAACAGTGTAAACGTCTGAAATAATCAGTTGAATCTAATACAAATTGTTGAAGATACTGTCTTTCATGTGTTTCTTTTTAGCCTGGCTTCAACTAGATAGCAAGGGATGTGGTACAAACAACTAATATCACCCAAGTCTTCTTCAAGAAATATGATTTATTGTGTTTTTCATGTTGTCACAACCCCCTCCCTATCACACTAGTATCCAAACCTAGCTCTTCCGCCTTTTCCAAAACTAGCGGACAAAAGAGTCAGCAGCTACAATAGGTTTGGATACCAGGCTACTCCCTACATCACATTCTTTTCAAATGCCATACACATTGGTGTGTAATATCACAAGTGTCATTTTGACAGTTTCACCATACTGCACAAATTTTCTCTGAATTATGTTCTGCAGTACCTTGCTACCTTGTACATACCGGTATAAGGCTACATTCACTCAATGGTCTCCATGTTTCAGTACTTTTCAGTGACAAAGCAAAATTGGGTAACTTATAATATTCTAACCCACTCATTGATAATTTTATGAAAAAGGTCATTGGAGTTACATTTTGTATAGTACAATTATGATACCCCACTTGGAGAAGCAATGGTATACATAGGTAAGTCTTTTGCATAGACATACTATATGTAAATGTTACACTTATCAGGCAAAAATTAAGCTTCATTATCAGAAGAAGTATACTGCCATACAGTATGGTTACAGTGCTAATGAACATACTTCAAACAGTTGGAATAGAGTACAATGTGTATGCTTTTTTGGACCACAAAATGATTTTTATAAAAGCAGCAAATTTTTTACTGTGCAGTATGAATTGAAGCAGGATCTGCTATAAAGACTAAACAAGTGAAGAAACAAGTAAAAATATGAAAAGATCGAGTTTTTCTTCGAACCACTACTCAAATCTGCCAGTCCTGCCTTTGTAAGGCAATTCTATTTTACTATCATTAACAAAATTCAGTTGCTAGCATTTTTGGTCCACAGGCTTGTCCTGATTAGATTAGATTAGATAGTACTTGTTCTCCCATAGATCTTTTCTATTCACTTCCCTTGATGGCATCCTCACAGTCTGTCTTTGTTGTCACCTCATCTTCCCCTTGTTCCATGTTTCCTGCATCAGTGTCCTCCATGTCTGTCGGTCTGTGTGGGACTTCTGGGGACCCTGTTTTGTTTTCTGTCTCTTGTTCCATCATTTCTTCTCCACTTTTGATGACTGATTCGGCACGTTGGTGTTGCTCCCTCTTCTCTTTCTCCTGAACTGCGCTGACTGTGTCATCTGCTTCTGCGGCAGCCTCCATGACTACGTCATTCCCATCATCCTCTGCTTGCCCGTCTCCGTCTTCCCTGATGGAGTCACCTGCACTCTTGACATCTGTCTCCGTTTTCATGTCCTCTTCTGTCTTTGATGACTTCCCTGAACACTTGGACGCTTGTCCATCTTCTTTTGCAACTTTCACTTTGTCAATATCCTTTGTTTCTTCCTTCTTGGCAGCCTTTGCAGGCCTACCTTTCCCAATGTCCTTTGCAGTGGTCGCTTTCCCAGCAGTCTTTGCAGTATGACCTTTCCCGGCACCCTTAGTACTTGCATTTTTCCCAGGTTCCTTGTCAGGTTTGAGATCCCACAGCTTATCAGCCAGACAGAGCAGGCCTATCCTATCCTCCTTCCTGACAATAGTGTGAAGCCAATAGTCTAAGCAGCTCTCAATGGTGTTAGACAGAGTCTTCTCAACCTAATTGATAAAAAAAAAGTATTAATGAATTTGCATGATCTTACTTATATATGGTCACCTCATCATAAACAAAAACTGTACAACCTTTTGAGAAGAACATTATTTTGCCCACCAGAAAATTTTATCACTGTTGTATCCATTCATTCAATGGTTGAAAAGTAAGGCTTTACACAACTGTTATATTTGGATACTCCTACTTACCAGAGCTTCTTGTAACACAAACTGGATGAAGGGAGCTTTCAGATGCTCATAGCCAAACTCCCCAAGGCACTTCAGGATTCGTGTGATGCGCAAGTAGTTATGATATGACCTGATGGGAGAAAAATTTTATAAGACCTTTATGTATCATGACAGACTAATACGTGTATATAACTGATCCATGCATTCTCATCTTTGATGTTAGTAAAATAGCTATAGTGTGGCACTGTTTTCTACAACATCTCAATACTAGTATTAAATAGAGCTCAAATTCTTAGGCATAGTATACAATATATTCTGTAGCAGAAAGGGACTAACTTGTTAAGGTGGTTGAGCCTTTCCTCCCAGTTGTCAGAGCGTACTATCTCCCCGGTTGTCTTGTCCTTTAGCTTCATCCCATAGAAGTCCAGCATCAACTCATATGACTTGAGGATCCTTGCATGGGCTTCTGGGTTCTCCATGATGAGCTGGGTCAAGTATCAACAAGAAATTGAATTTACACCACTGAATTATTAGAGTTATGAATTACTTATCTCGCTCATCATTGTGAATTTCTTGCTTATTACTCCCGTCATTTCCAGCCTGTCAGGAGCCTGTCATTCAACCATCCTGTCAGTCCCTGCCATTACCTCATCTCTTCCTGTGACTCCACTGTATTCAAATTATTGGATACACAAGCAAACAGACAAACACTGAAAACAAAATCTCTGTACATGAAGGTAACACACCTTAATTTCATGCTCTTGTAACTCCACAGCATGCCAGTTCATTCCCTCCTCCCTGATGGGAAACAACCTGTAAAGAACAAAATGTCTAAATTCTACCCTTCAGCATCAAAGTATCAATTATGATGTGGAAAACAAAATGTGAAGTATGAATACAGCCTTGCTTATTAGATACATTGTAGTGTACTCACCATTGGATGTAGCCATGATGCTCCTCTAGACGGGTGTAGTCCCCCCACCATTCCTCTGTGGATGTTGTCAATGTAGTCACCTATCAGAAAGGGGGTGGGGGTTCAAATATAGCACTGTAAATTCTTTTTGATGTGGTCTTATTGTAAAGCAGGAGAGAAAAGGAGATTTTTGAGCTGTTTTAAATTTGCAGGTAACACAATTCTGTGGTATAGTATTATATATCAGGAAGCTACTGTCCTGAATGTGCTACAGCTTTATAATTTTGTCAGGGTTACATGTATACTGAATTGGAAAATGCTTATGTACAAGTTCATTTAGTACAACCACGGACAAGAATGCTGACAGAAATTTTAATTTGCATTGCCAAATACAAAAATTACACTAATTGTGTGTGTAACAGATCTAAAACTATGTCTCTTATCTACATGTACCATCTGGCTTGGACTTCAGGTTGTTCGTGTAGAAGTTGTAGTTCTCAGTGACACTTGGATTTGGCCTCTTCCCCTGGAAAAAATATAAACAAAAGCAGGTTATATTTTAATTGATGGTTACAACTTACTGTGCATGCACAATGTGATGAATTGTGAGTAATATATTTAAGTTGAAGGCCCTTGAGATATAAACAAAACACATCTTCTGGAGATTCATGGGTGTCTTACTGGGTAGCCTTTTCGATAGTCCCTGGTGTCCTTGGAACTCCAAGATGACCTCAACCTTACTGGTCGCTGTCGCCCACCCTGTGGAACCACCTGGTCAAAGAAGATGGAAATTTTAAGGTGTTACAATCTTTGTGTACATTTCCATGAAACATATCATAATTCAAGTAAGATTTATGATGCTTTCAGTACAAGAGGCTGAGTCAACAAAATATTATATAAAAGGGCAGCTAATCATCCATATCTCATTTCCTATAAATTTCCAGTATGACTAGAAAAAGGCCCCATTCGTTTTAAAAAATCAGTCTCAATCAATTAAGTAGTCAAGCTAATTTGATTTTGCAAGTAGTTTGAGACTGGAAATCAACCAAATTGAGGAATCATTTCTCAATGACTTGCAAATTAAGTCAAATCGATGTTAGCTGATTTGAATGTTAATATTTATTGTTAAGGATTGGATTGATTGTCTACCAAATTGATTTAGAACAATTAGAAATTTTGGACATGAACAAGGCCAAAGTCAGAATACAGGAATTAATGAGATCAACAGTCATGATAATTACATTGTTGCTGAATACAAACTTGTTATTGTAGATAACTTCTGCTTTAAGTTTCAGTTCCAAGAATCAATGAATGCGAAACTTCAACTCCTTTGTTGACATTGTCATTTGTTGAATCATTCATCAAATCTGACGCCTGGTAAAGTCAAGGAGACTAAGTACATTCCACTTGAATTAAAATTTTGTTGGTCCAGTCCTGAGTAAATTACAAATTTTCCAATTTAATATCATACATCAGGAGTGAATAGGCAGCATATCTGAGACAATCTTCAACATGCATGTAGCTAACTGTCTTCTTTAGTGGCGAATTGTTGTCTTTGTATGAGGGATTACATATCGCAATCTAACAACAAGAGTATAACAGTTACTGTTTTCCTGACATCCCGGTGCTAAAATGTCGGAAAAATTGTCAGATTCGAGAGTCACGTTCAGGTGAGGTGAGGTCACGTTTGTCGTACAATCGTCGTGCGATCGCCGTACGATTGTAAACTGGGGATGTACAGTTACAGGCACTAGGTACACAGCCGCAGAAAGGAAATTATGATAACCCCGTACTCACAAGTTCCCAGCCGAAGTCTCGGATCGCTCGAGCCAGGCCCTCCCTCCCCGCCCGGGCTGGCGGCAGGCGGCCGTTCGCTCTCAGCCGCTTCACCCGAGGGTCCTCCTCCCAACACTCGTCGTCAGACTCCTCCCTGACCTCCGGTCCGTAGTACCTGCTCCAAGATTGTCCCATGGTGGTGGCCGAGCGCTCATTTGGATTTTGCATTTCCTCTAAAAGAGAGAAACGTCAGCACCAGGCCAGAACGGGAAGCAAACGCGGAAGTAAAACTTCAGCTTGGAAAGTCCCGTTTAGAATTAGAAATATGTAGCACCTCATTCGTAACGAAGATTAAGGACCAAACCACTATCCGACGGGGGGGTAGGATTTGGCTATCACTTGTATGCTCATTATGTCATATGAATAGCAATTTGTGAAGTGTTGTAGGAACTAAGTTTCCTTTAATATACACAAGGTTACACCATGCAACATGAAGACACTTCCACCGCTTCTTCATTTTGCACCAGCCATCGCCATTGGTAAAACTACCAAAGAACTTGATTACATAAATGCCATAGGCTCGGTCAAGGCAAGGTAAAGTGTAGCAAGGGTATACCGTATTTCCAGGCTTAAAGTCACGACGTTCGTATCATGACGTATATATCATGAAAGTCAACTAGGGATTGGTAAATCGACCACACTTTATGTACATGTGCAAAGGGGCCCCCTTTAATGCTTTGGTGTGGCTTGAATACAACATGTATGACTTTCGGAAGATGGAATAATGATACCTCATCCGTAATCTGCATGAGCCAATGATCTCACTATTGGCATTTGTCCATCATTCGATATTTCAAACCGCTGACTTTTGACAACAAGACAGCAGCGCTGTGGATGTGGTCCAAACGCTGTTCTCAGAAATCTCGATCAGTGTGAAGGTAACCATCAAACATAGCATTATGTCGGAAACGAGACAGATCAACACACCCTATTATAGATCTATCCGCATGTCAACATTACTGCCACGCAAACAGCGTGAACTGGCATCCGTGCGCTAACGTTAAATCGCGCGTGATTCCTCCTAAACTTTTATACCTGTGAGTTTTCATAATGTTATTTAGACTTCAGATATGTTGTTATGCAGAGGAGCCAATGACACATTCGACAGCTACAGGATATCTCTAATCGAAGATATTCAATGCTCATACAATGTATAATGTTTTCACCATTTTCCAGTCCTTAATTTTCACCTTTGTGGTGGGAAAAACATGCACGTTTTATTAACAATAATTCAACAAGATGTATACTTGAGTGTATAATATTCAGGTACAGTACCGGTACATTGACGTTCCAGAATTTTGAAGTTTGCAAAATGTATGTCTCCGTAAATCGATAATCCTTTTTCGCACATCAAATGCAAAATGACGTTCAAAACTTGAATACATGTGCATTCTTTTTTTTCGCCCGATATTTTTTTCGAAGGCTCTCTGTTACCTACTGGTAAGGCCACAACAAGTAATTTTTATGGATGACGTCCACGCGCGCATTGATTTTGGCCTGTTCCCAGAAAAAAGAAAACAATAAATTCCGCTTCCTGTAACTATAAAGAGTCACGACAGTGCCGCAAATCGCAAGATATAATCATCTCCACTATAACCTCCTTGATGTAATGAAACAACTGCCGTTCCACTGTTATCTCATTCAATTTGTGTCCCTCATGTGTCGTCCCTCAGTATATTAATATTTCAAATCTAGGCATCTTGTTTTTTTCGGCCCTTCTTATTTATTTTTGCGCTCTCGTATTAGATTTAGGGTCCCGGGGCGACGCCATCCATACAAATTACCTGGTGCAGCCTAACAGGTTGTTCCACGCAGCGCCATCTAGCGTTTCACACCAACATAGTATTTCTTCATGGACCGCTGCCGCTAACCTTCAACGTTCGCTCAACATTGAGGAAGGAAATGACTCAGGCTCACGAGGTGTGGGATTTCCTCAGAGGGATTGGAATTCAGAAAACAACACTCCTTGTGATGGGGCCGACTCACACGACTTCACATTTCTCAATGGTCCAGTTGTTTTATTTATCGACAAAGCAAGGGGAAAGGGAACTTTTTTTCATGAAAATGCAACTCCAAACATCCCTAGGTATCCTGTTGAAATAACGTACATGCATATGTATATGTATATGTATATGTATCCTTATGATTATAGAACTTCTTTGCTTTGTTTCTGCAAATGTAGTTCACTGCATACGTATGTACGTATACGCATCTCAGGTCTTTTGAACAGGTGAGTTGAGGTCATAGGTCAGACGAACCGTGTTTACAATAGATAAGAAAATGCTGGCACGTTTCAACATGTTCACACCACATGTCTTTCACGGATCATTTTGACATATTGCTTTTCGTTGTACAAGCAGTGGCATATAGTCCCGTTTCTGTGTAATCGCCCACATCAGTGTAGATAAATAGCTTCCAAACGATCGCCCAAACGGGCGGTAACTAGAGGGCACCGGCTATTCCAGGGAGGTAGGGCCCAAGGCCAATGATTATCCAGAAAACAATTTTTATCAGCTCTACTACTTATTTGGCGGTTACGCCTATTCATGGTAACATCATAATCACCCCCTCAGGCTAAAAGAGCCCACTCTCTACCGCCGGTGCCTGGTGGGGGGAGGAGGTAACGCTACAGGTGGGACTTCCCCGGAAAAATCCACTTTTATCGGGAATCGCCCTTCTGATTGGTCGCCTGGGTCAGGTGACCACCGGTGATCTACCTGTTGTGTTTGACATGCAAAGTTTCACCTAGCGCGGGCAGGCTGGGTCTTGGGTGTCACACACCTTTGTTCTACCTTCCGCGGCCGGGTCCTGTGTGTCCCTGCCGTCATAGCTGCGTAGGAGGCCCCTATCTGCAGTAGTAACTCTAGGGGGAACTTGCCGGGAATGCCCGACGAGGCTTACGTGAGTTACACGCTAGGTGACACCAACCATGGCAACGGTAGCGTGATGGACGGGAGCCGGAGACGATTTCTGGGACCTCCCTTTACCGTCGGTATCGGGGGCCCTCCCCCTATCATCCAAACTATGGCGCCCAGGCCGTCACTCGTGAGCCACGTACAGGTTCCTGTCACCATGCTATACAGCAATGGTGCACTGAGACCAGCTGGTACAGTCCAAGCAGTGCCGCAAACGGCGTCCACAGGTAACACCGAAGCGCTGAACATGACCAAACGGAGACTCGAACAGAGCGAGAACGAAAAGCTCCCGCCCAAGAAGAGGAAAACAAACTTTGTGCAGCACGACGAGGAGAGATCGGCTCCCAGTCCGACCACAAGCACCAACTCGGGGGAAGGCAGCAGTCATGTCAGGTTGAACGACAAACCCATGGACTTACGAGTGAAGCAAGAGCCGAGGACACAACCACAGTGTCAACAAGGTAAGAACAAATATCATATCTAATGATAGATCTATCAAATCATGATAGGTAGTTTGTTTGTTTGTTTGTTTGTTTGTTTGATCCCATTGTTCATCGACCTGCTGTCCACGTTTCATTGAGGGAAGGGATCAGGGTCAGAGAAAATATGAAAGATGCAGATAATATATTTTTGAAGTCCTGAGAAATCCATGAACATATTTAACGTAATTATTATCAAATGCATAGTAATACACGTACCAATGCTGAGCTGTTTACCTGCTCCAGGGAGCCATTCTCACTTGAGGTTTCGGATATCAAATGCCAATCGTTGTTTTAGGTCACCACAAGGCCATGGTCACATTTTTATTGAGAGCTTTGCAGATTGTGACAGGAATATGCTGACGGTAATGTTTATGTAGGAGTTGAGGAAATGATGCGAATGGGGTCAACGTCCGAGAAAAACAATGACATGTCGTGGGGGTTTTGTAAGACCCGAGAAGATCCTGCCAACTTTTCATATTCAAATACAAATTCCTGGAGCCCTTCGAACGACTAAACAGCGTATGGGGAGATGGAAACCAGGCGCTGCAACGGGGAAACCCCGGACAAAATCCAGTCCAGATGTAGCGAGTAGAGCCAACCTGCCATTCACAATTATAATTGGTTTTTATTCTCGATTCCCTACGGGTGTGTACGCCGGACCAGGGCTTAGAGAGGATATAATGTGCTGTTGAGTGTGTCGGGGAGTTACAAGGGTCCTCTCGACACGCATGCAGGCCGACAAAATCTTGTGTTGTTGACAAGCTGGCCTCATAATCACTAACTGACTTGGAAAGTGCTTATCCCGTTTCAAACCTCCACAGAAGCTTCATGAGTTCACTACATAGTGCGGTTACCGACACTCAGATATGTTTATGATATTATATGATATAATACGATACAAGCATAGGTAAAACTCCGATCTCTCCTGGTCTAAAGTTCGATGTGTCAACACAAGACAGGAAGACGCCAGGTGGTAATATTGTCTGATAAAGGTAGCTAAATGTATGATTGACAGTTTACCGACGCTTGTAATATTTTCCTTAATCGATTACTACTGTTGCTATGGGTGCACACCTTAAGGATAACTGCATAATGCGTTTTATTGCAACGACGTTTTTTTAAAATATCACGTGTTAATCAATACACTGTTATCATGGTAAAAAAAGGACAAGGGAGATTGACATTCATTACGAACTGCAAGCATAGCATTTAACATGTAACTTAATTTAAGGTATGCCATTCGCATATAATATGCCTTATTTGACTCTATTGCTCGGTCTCTAAGAGGGAAACGCCTCTACAAGTTCTTAGAACATAGCCACCTTTCCTCAGCCAATCAGGAGCCTGTATTTCTTGTGACTAAATCCACATAGTGCGGTCCCCAAAGGGACAGGGGTGTACTAACCAACGAATAAATTAGACTAAGTCGGAGACGCCCATGTACTAACCAACGAATAAATTGACTAAGTTGGAGACGCCCACCATTCACATGCAAATAAATTGATTAAAAAAATTAACAACACAAGAAAACAGCAGTTTGATCAATTTCCCTGTATATCTTTATTCAAAAAGGTAGACAAAAGAAACTCATGACAAGGAAAGTGAACAACGAACAGAGAATGAATAATGAGTATGGATGAAGACAAAAAATCAGAAGGTTTCTTACAAATGTCATGTATAACGAGAGTTTCTCATACATTGTAAAAAAAATGAAACACAGAAGCTACAAACTTTTAGCGATACATTAAAACGATGCAAAGTCTTCCCAACATGTCTGACATGATTTGCACATTCTTAAACTTTGAAAACAAACCACGGTAAGACTAAAAAAGAATACACCAACATGCTTAGACAGCAGGGCAGGCACTGGGCGAGGGAAGGAGGGGTTAGAGCAGGAACGAGTCGGCCCGGGAAAGAACACTGAACAGGCCGGCAGAGACGCCACGACCAACTTGTTTGGGATCAGGTCAGGGACTGCTGTCTCAGACAGACAACCGAGAATTTTTTAACCCAAAAACAGAAGGCATTGTGGGGCTAGCAAGGTGTTGTAAACCATGACAAGAACCGCTATGCATATTTCACACAAGGCTGCGAGAAGTAGCTCAGCTGCAATTCATGAATGAGAACAAAAGGACGTACTACAAGCTGTAATGTTGTTGGTAAGGTTTCTAGGAAAACAAACGAGTGGTTTTTGAAGAAAACAAAACATGGATTGTGTAAAATGTATTTCTTCTGCTTCGGAAAGATGGTCATGTTCTAAGTCAGTTAAAGGATGGGCGAATTGCTCGTATATGTGGATTTGGTACAGCCCCGCACCCCCCTCGGATTTTGTTGGCACCCCTCGGGCTCCGCCCTCGGGATGCCAACAAAATCCTTGGGAGGGCGGGGCTGTACCAAATCCACATAAACTCGCTCCGCCCATCCTTTAACTAATACATATTTCAGTAGCCAAACATACCAGTACATGTACACAATGTACATGCCGATGTGAGTGAGTCATGGCGTCCGTGAACTCCGTAAGGCCGAAAAGACAACATCGGTGTTTTGAGTGCACAAAGCTATGACTCGAGCTGATGGTAAGGCAAACCTTGGCATCTTTACTAACTTCACATACTAGTATTACGATCTATGCGTTGGGTGGATATATCTTGGGTTACAGGAATGCACTGTGTCGAACGACCTCGAGCTCGTTCCCACTGTCGACTGATCATGATGCTCTCGGATTATATACAATAAAAAAATTAAATAAGATTAGGGGGATACGGAAACTTCATCGATGTGATGTGAATTATACACCGCTAAGTTAAAATAATAGTGTCGGCAATCTTAAACGGCGCCCATGCACACGGACTGTTTAAAAAGTTTGGGTACAAGGTATGGTCAAGGAAGATGTATTTCTAGATATATAAAAAGGTTAAAAATATATAATAAGTTTTTATTTAGTTGATTAAAAGCTTCATTAGTATTTCTCTGAATCTGAAGATATATAAAAGTTTTTAAAATATGTAATAGATTAAACAACTCCCTTGGTGTTACTATGTAAATGACCACTCAACAACGAAACTTTAATTAAGATTATTTCACAATGTACATCGGCCCAGGCCTTCTCAGAAAGCCTGCTAAGAATTCATTTTTAGTTTCGCTTGACCATGTTTGGTGATGATGTGAAACTAACAACGCCTATGTATGCTTTGTGCATGCTCTTTACCGCAAGTTTCGAATTATTTCATCAGTTGCATATTAATGAAGCACAGAATAGGTAGTCAGTGCACCGAAACATGTAAGTGTCAAAACAACCTGATTCCCTATGTACGCCGCAGGAAAAAAGAATGACGCAGTAAATGAGCCATATTTTGTGCCCTGATACCATGTAACATTAGCACAGGTTATTTTCCGAGATATACAGAATTAACATCGGCCTTGTCAACATACGTGTATATATATCCTTCAGTGCATGTATTGAGGACAGCAGCAGGCATTACCCACAGTTTGACGAACTAACGGCTGAGAAAATTGACCGAAACGCGACCCGGTTTATAATAGCTAGCTTAAAATCTGGGGTTTCACCGTTTGAGTGGTCAGCCAATGGGGGAAACACCTGAGTGGACGCGCCCAGTATCAGGTGACCGCGCACCTTCGGCAGGTAAACATCTCGCCAGCGTTACTGAGTAAACAAAAGAAAGGGGTCGGGCCACTCACCTAGCGCGTGCGTGTCCACCGCCATGATTGTTCTGTATTTTTAGAGCGTGTGCTATGACTTCTTGCCTACATTGTTATGTTGTTTTCCATGTTATCAAAATGATAAGGGACACCCGGTAATCATATTCAGGATCACAACTATTGTTGAATGACTTTCAACAACAGGAGCACAGCAAGATATCCAATAAAATTTATAGTGAAGAAAGGAGCTTCAAATGTCCTAAAAATAAATAAAAAAAGATAATATCTAACTTCTTTTTTGACCAGCTGACCAGCTTAATTACAGCTAACATGTCATGTCGTGACTTGGTTCATACACTAACACCAGTCAGTGGACGAGTTGCGTCTGTTGCTTTTGTTCAATTGCAAGCTTTGATGAATATGATTACAATACGCTTAGCTACATATGAATTGAAGGCGACACCATGTCAGTCCGTGCCAAGCACATTAGTCAACGTTAGTTTCCTATTCTTGGAATCCTGACCACATGGGTGCTACAGACATTGTCCACGTGCGGCGTTAGTCGCTAGTTTCCTTGTCATGTGTTCCGAGAACCGCACCAGGAAATGACGAACCTACGGTCGTTTTTAGTCTAGCCTCCTTTATAGCAGGCTCTACGGCAGGGGCTTTTGGGGGGGGGGGGGCAGGGAGGGGGCTTATAATGCACTTATTTTGCAGATATTTGCACTTATTTTCCGGATCCATAACCATCATGTTCGGGTCATAAGAGTATCATTATATAGATAAAACGAATGCGCGCGGCCACATGCCAGACAGCGCCTTGTGCAAGCAATCTTCGCAGACTAGTCAAACAATAAAAGTGTTTCGATAATACTTTTCACTGTCCTAAGAGATCAGACCTTAAATTCACCCATACACATATCTCCCTAAGCCTATAGTTACAGTCCCATATCATACGTTACATATTTATCAACAGGTACTAATCATAACATACGGTTGTCCTGCACATTGGGATGGGTAGGGGGCGTTGCTACTCAACGTGTTTTACAGCAGAAACCAGTGGGGACGATACACTAGGATTTCGAGAGATGTTTAAAATACTAGTAAGGAGAAAAGGAACGCCGTTAACAGGAAAGTTTCAGTGAAGTGAACTTAACTGCACAAGAATGACACCAGGAAAAATCAGACAGGCTTTCATCCAACATTTGTACACAAAACAACCCCCGTCTTCTCCCTTCTTTGCTGGTAACGTGAGGAGTTAAGTTTGCTCTACAAACTAAACAAACAAACAAAGAAAGAAACAAACAAACAAATTCTCTTGTATTGGATGCCTTGTAGGCTGACAAAATAGAAAGCCCGACATGCGCCTAAAAACGTCAAGAACAAGACAAATCTCTGATTGGAGAGTAGGTTTGGTTTATTGGTTTATCTTGTGATTCACTGGAGAGTTCATTCATTTTTCTGTGTATGGGGAAACCCCTAATCATTTTATTTTACTTTATATTACAATTGTAAGCAAATGGAGTCTTTGACTCCCGATTTTTAGCCCATAGTGCTATCTTAAAAGTCCCTTCAGCCCCCGTGTACTTGTAAGGGAGTGTTCAGTACTAAATAACATGAAAAGTAATATATTTCGTCTTTTACTGTTTCCGAAAAGAAATTAAAACCAACAGACAAGTTAGAATTCAAAGTCAGCATGTAGATTAAAGTAGTAACATGTTATATTGTTCGTCATTGTTTGTTCGTCTTTTTCGTGTTACTTGCAATTAGGCTTCGACCTCGAAGAGCGTATAACTTACGATTAAGGGGGTTAAATATTTAACCTCCTTGCTTACAATAGACTGGCTACAAGGCTACGATATATCATTAGTAATGCCGATATCGACCTACAGAGTGCTCTCCAAGATCTACAGTTACGGAAAGAGGAAACTAATCCATGGTGTTTTGATATTCTCTGTCTGAATATTTAGCGGACTTATTCTGAGTCATCCTTCCGTGGGTCAAGTCACATCACAAAAATGTTTTGTTATGACTCGGTGGCTGCACTGATCGACAAGAATGTTGCTTGTTTTACGCGTATTTTTCGGCATTTTGTACGTTTTTCTGGTGATGTCTGTTTGTACCTGTTCACCTCCACCAGAAGGAGATGAACATGAATTAGAAAGCCGTGGGAAAGACCAGCACGCACAAATGCCGGATCCTACATCTGCTTGGGGATTAGTAATGGCTGTCCCAGTGACTTCCGGGTTAGCTGAAATCGTGGTAGAGCAGGCTGGTGGGGAAACCCCTCTAGTACACCTGCTGAAAAGACAGGATTTCCAGAAAAATTGACAACCGTTTAAAACGGATGGTGTCACCATTTGTAGTCTATTGGTGAGACTTAACAGTGGGACAAACGTCATGTCTTACTATAACGTACCTTACTATAACGTAGCCTTCAACGGAGACCGGAGAGGCCTTCTACACGGCGCATCATGATGTATTTCAAAAAGCGTATGCCATGCATCATCCTTACTTTTACGTACCGTGGACGACTTTTTACCCTGCAGGCGCCTCCACCACGGCGGCCCCGGCGGCTCTGCCGGCCATCCCCACGCCGACGCACGGCCCGGTGCGTGCCGCCGTCCCCGTGCCCTTCCCCGGCCCGACGGTGGTGGATCCCCGGGTAGGCATCGTCTCCGGGGCGGAGATACAGATGGCGTCATGGCAGGACGAGGACGGCGACACTTAAGTCACGAACGTTTTTGTTGTTTAGTCATTTATCTACTAGTATATTCTGCTTTTCTTTGAAAGCAATGTGTCACGAGGTAACCATACACCTGTACACCATACTGTTACATGTTATGCTGAGGTCACATTTCCAGGTCGAGGCCCGGCCGAGATTTTTATGTGAACGAAAAATGAACAATTCATATCAAGAATACGACATTGTAAAAACAATTGTGCTCATAATCAATTGTTGCAAATATTTGTGTATTTCATATCATACGTTCCCAGAAACTTCTCGGCCGGGCCCCGGCTTTGAAATGTGACCTAGGTATTAGTCCGATGTAGACCAGCATTACATTCTTAGGATAGCCGCAGATGAGCTATAGCCGTGCACGATCATGTAGATCATTCATGTTGATGACCTTGGCTTACGGAATACGGAAGCAACGGATATGCAAGTTAACCCTCGATCCTGTGATGTGATTATATACGAGAAGTCGAGCGGGCACATCTTGTGACTATCGACGGAGAGTGAATCATCAAAGTATATGTATAAATAACATATGATCAACGCATGGTATATTTGGTCATATGTTTTCGTATTAATTTTTGATTCCATTGACAGTGCTCTAATTATTTTGTATATAGTACATAGTATGAAGCATGTACTTTTTCCTGCGTTCCTTACACAACTGTTCGGTAGTAGTACCGTGAGCATAATTCAAGCGACCAGGGTTACATATTTTGTAGCTACAAGCTACAAGACGGAAATAGATCAAGGAAGACGTGACTTACGACACACGCGCACACACTGACACCGTGTGATACACACACATGTGCGTACGCACGCACACACACGCCTAATGCATGTGTACAACTTAATAATATATTACCTTTTGATTTGATTTGACTTTTTTGTATTATGGTGTTATTTTCATTTGTTGGTGACTTATAAGCCCATACGGGCTGAGCGGTGTGTAGTCGCAGGACACTTAACTTAGTAAATTTTCCTTTTCATTGATTGATTGATTCATTCATTCATCCACTCATCCATCCATTCGCCCATCCATCCATTCATTCACACACACGTACCCACGACGCAGGCACCCATAGACACCCAGAAAAAGTCACAATTCAACGGTACGTATTACGACCGCTGTACATATCAGTAAATGCAGGTTTTATATTCCTAGTGACCCCTTGCGGTGAAATCATATATTGTAACACCACGCATGTTGCCTAACTTCAGAATTGATTCAACAACGAACTTAAACAACACGAAAACCTTATTTTCTCGCCGGCCGCTTAACAATGCATTTACAGTATTACACTTAACATTTTCCTGTTGGAAGAAAAACGGATATCTTCCTCGGAATGTGTTCTCCCAAGTGTTTTTAATTGTGCTTAACGGGGTGACGTAACGTCTTGGCAGGTATGATTTCCGCGTAGCGGAAAATCCCGGCCGTAAAAATCTTCATTGTTCATTCGCTACTGCTACAGGAAACAATTTGCCAGACTTTATAATCCGCGACCTTAGGCGCACTTTGGTCTGACATGGACGTAAATGTAGTTATAATCTCCAAGTAAATTTTGGGAGTGAAAGTAGTTTATCTTTAGTTGATTGGGCGGCTTAATCTCGCTAACACCCCCCTTTCCACTAGAGGCTGCCACCGCTGAGCGACCGCTGAGCCTACAAATATTTGACATGCAGATCGCTTAACGAAAACAAATCACGTTTTGTGGGTTTTGTTGTCTTACAAGTCTTTCGCGCCGTACACATTTCCAATTATAGAGTCAAGGATCGTACAAAGCCAATTTTGGTCGCTCAACGATCACCGTCTAGTGGAAAGGGAGTCTTATGGTACTTTTCCCATGCAATTGCAACAATTGCTTGAACAATGGTTCAAAGTTGTCGGCCTGATGAGGGCTGGCTAAAATGGCTATTCTAGAAACAATGTAATTATGTATAGGAACAAACATTGTGTACGAATGCTTATACCACCTTTATATTTAGCATAACAAATCTCCTAGCAATGACAGGTAACCTGAACCCTGAATGCTACTGCCGTGTAGTGTGGGCAATAACATAACAGCTAGCCGCGTCTGGGCTGTACCACCGGGTGTCGCCCGAGCAGAAATCCTAATGTCGTCGGAACAATGATAACCTGTTGTGATGTCTCATAGCATCGCAGAACGATTAGCGAAAACGTAGAAACGTATAAAATAGGTATGAAGATCACAAGGCACCGTACACAAGGGGGGATCAAGCGTTTTTAAGCGGAAAATTCAGGAAGGACTTCCAAAGGAGGAAGTTACATTGCATATTTGTAAAAGATTAAAAGGGTTTAGAACGTGTGTAGCATAAGATGTCATTGTGACGCATAACATGTGGTATTTGTCTGACACCTGTGTTTGTGTAGGCCTCTTCACATCGCTGTAGTTCAGGGGAACATCCCCCTGATCGAGCGGCTGCTGACGCTGTTGAGTCTCGGGAACAAGAGTGTGGATACCTACAATCATCTCAGACAGGTCAGACTGGAGGAAGTAATACCAGGCACACACATACCTTGCACAGCGCGCCTGTATAAATTCTAAACAAACAGTCCAAAGAAAGACCCAGACAGGTAGAATATGTACGGGTCCAATTCTTTTGACAGGAAAGCGACAGAGACAAAAAAGGCTGGCATCCAGTCTATGTAGTAAAATGTGATGCGTTGACACAACTACGTTTACCATTGCAGATACATACATATTCTCAAGTACACGCAATGAACTCTTCATTAGCTTCAATGGTTACTTATAGAAGCAAATAATAACTTTTGCCAATGGTACAGGAACACCACAGCCAGGGAACCGATGTTTTAGAAGTATCTAGATTGTTAGATGGTTCATTGAAGTTAAAAAATTGTGGAGGTCTGCACACACATTAACAATAGGTCTAGAAGTGCAGAGCGTCGCGCTTTAGCGTTAGCTTATGTCATTTCAAAATTTACTTTCAGGCTCCCTTACATTTGGCTGTCATCACAAGTCAGTGGCCGATAGTTCGCATGCTGGTGCTTGCCGGCGCATGCGCGGACCTGCAGGACAGGAACGGTCAGACGGCGGTGCACCTGGCCTGTCAGCGGGCCAGCATGACCTGTCTGCACACCCTCATCACCTGCACTAAACACCAGCTGGACCTCGACATCAGGAACTATGAGGGTCAGTTCTGTACCTGGAGGTTTTGTTTTGGATGGGTTTGTGTGTATGCTCGTCCAGCAGAGAGGAGTATGTTGATACATTTGTATTTGGGTTCTTGATTGACAGGGACGTTTTGAAGAATCAATGACAAATAGATGTTTCTCCGTGTTCTTCTAGGTTTGACGCCGCTACATATCGCAGTGAACACTGGGAACAAAGATGTCGTCGCATTCCTTGTGGAGAGCGGGGCAGACATTGAAGCAACGGTGACTGTCACTCTATTAATTCATTGGTTTCTGATAACAGAAATACAGGCAATGTCAAATTCTGACCTAATATCCATAATTTTGAATAAAAAAGATAGATGTATGAACAAACTTTATGTCCTCCTTTAGGACGGTAAAAGCGGCAGAACAGCCCTGTTCTACGCAGTAGAAGGGAACCAAGAGGACATCGTTGAGTACCTCCTCGGGGCGGGCGCTAAGGTAAACTCCCAGTGCTACGCAGGGAACACACCGCTCCACACGGCCAGCGGACGGGGACAGCAGAACATGGTGAAGATGCTGATCAAGCACGGAGCAGACATCGGCGTCAAGAACTGTCACAACGACACGCCACTGGCCGTGGTCAACAACAAAACGGTAACGCCCACTTTAATGGTGTTTGAGGTTGCCACTGTATGCACCGCTGAGCGACCATTATGTAGTTGACAGAGAGCCTCAACAAATTTCATGGACAAAGAACTTTTTTGCGTCTTGTGTATTCTGGTGCAACATATTTCTGCTGTAGAATCAATATAATAATGGTCACACAAGTCCAATTTGAGCGCTCAGCGATCGGCATCTATAGTTGAGGTCTTAAAAGCAAATTGCATGTTTCTGCTGTTTTCGCACAGATAAGTCAGATGCTGAGAGGAAGATTCAAACCCGCCGCAACATCATTCAACAACTAAGGCTCCCACTCAGACGTTACCAATCACCGCCTTCAAACTCGCGGGCCTGAAGGTACCACCTGTTCTCCGCAAGGTGGCGCAACTGAAGGACACTCCCAGCGCACAAAACAGCCCACAGTCATCCACGGACAGTCAGTCTCGAGAGGGGACCCCAAAAATGTCGGAACAATCGCCTGCAGCCAGTAGCGCTTNTTGTGAGACTTAACAGTGGGACAAACGTCATGTCTTACTATAACGTACCCTGGGTGCCTTCAACGGAGACCAGAGAGGCCTTCTACACGGCGCATCATGATGTATTTCAAAAAGCGTATGCCATGCATCATCCTTACTTTTACGTACCGTGGACGACTTTTTACCCTGCAGGCGCCTCCACCACGGCGGCCCCGGCGGCTCTGCCGACCATCCCCACGCCGACGTACGGCCCGGTGCGTGCCGCCGTCCCCGTGCCCTTCCCCGGCCCGACGGTGGTGGATCCTCGGGTAGGCATCGTCTCCGGGGCGGAGATACAGATGGCGTCATGGCAGGACGAGGACGGCGACACGTAAGTCACGAACGTTTTTGTTGTTTAGTCATTTATCTACTAGTACATTCTGCTTTTCTTTGAAAGCAATATGTCACGAGGTAACCATACACCACACTGTTACATGTTATGCTGAGGTCACATTTCCAAGCCGAGGCCCGGCCGAGGCCCGGCCGATGTGAACGAAAAATTAACAATTCATATCAAGAATATGACATTGTAAAAAAATTGTGGTCGAAATCAATTGTTGCAAATATTTGTGTATTTCATATTATACTTTTCGTTCCCAGAAACTTCCCGGCCGGGCCCCGGCTTGAAATGTGAAATGTGACCGCGGCATTAGTCCGATGTAGACCAGGTCTACGTCACAACATTAAAAATTTTCTTCTTTCTTGCAACTTCATTCGTCACATTCGTCTTACAGCCTTCGTACAATCGCAAACTGCGAACATTAGGATAACCGCAGATGAGCTATAGCCGTGCACGATCAAGTAGATAATTCATGTGGATGACCTTGGCTTGAGGAATACGGAAGCAACGGATATGCAAGTTAACCCTCGATCCTGTGATGTGATTATATACGAGAAGCGGGCACATCTTGTGACTATCGACGGAGAGTGAATCATCAAAGTATATGTATAAATAACATATGTTCAACGCATGGTATATTTGGTCATATGTTTTCGTATTAATTTTTGATTCCATTGACAGTGCTCAAATTATTTTGTATATAGTACTGTAGTATGAAGCATATACTTTTTTCCTGCATTCTTTACACGAGTGTTCGGTAGTAGTACCGTGAGCATAATTCAAGCGACCAGGGTTACATATTTTGTAGCTGCAAGCTACAAGACGGAAATAGATCAAGGAAGACGTGACTTACGACACACACACACACACACACACACACACGCACACACACACCGTGTGACACACACACACACGTGCGTACGTACGCACACACACGCCTAATGCATGTCTACAACTTATATTACCTTTTGATTTGATTGGACTTTTTTGTATTTTCATTTGTTACTTTCATTTGTTGGTGACTTATAACACTGAGCGGTGTGTAGTCGCAGGACACGTAACTTAGTAAATTTTCCTTTTCATTGATTGATTGATTGATTCATTCATTCATCCACTCATCCATCCATTCGCCCATCCATCCATCCATCCATCCATTCATTCACACACACGTACCCACGACGCAGGCACCCACAGACACCCAGAAAAAGTCACAATTCAACGGTACTTATCACGACCGCTGTATATATCAGTAAATGCACGAAAACCTCATTTTCTCGCCGGCTGCTTAACAATGCATTTACAGTATTACACTTGACATTTTCCTGTTGGAAGAAAAACGGATATCTTCCTCGGAATGTGTTCTCTCCGGTGTTTTTGTGCTTAACGGGGTGACGTAACGTCTTGGCAGGTATGATTTCCGCGTAGCGGAAAATCCCGGCCGTAAAAATCTTCATTGTTCATTCGCTACTGCTACAGCCTACAGGAAACAATTTGCCAGACCTTATAATCCTCGACCTTAGACGCACTTTGGTCTGACATGGACGTAAATGTACTTATAATCTCCAAGTAAATTTTGGGAGTGAAAGTAGTTTATCTTTAGGGCGGCTTAATCTCGCTAACACTCCCCTTTCCACTAGAGGCTGCCATCCCTGAGCGACCGCTGAGCCTACAAATATTTGACATGCAGATCGCTCAACGAAAACAAATCACGTTTTGTGGGTTTTGTTGTCTTACAAGTCTTTCGCGCCGTACACATTTTAAATTATAGAATCAAGGATCGGACAAAGCCAACTTTGGTCGCTCAACGATCGCCGTCTAGTGGAAAGGGAGTCTTATGGTACTTTTCCCCTGCAATTGCAACAGTTGCTTGAACAATGGTTCAATGTTGCCGGCCTGAGGGCTAGCTAAAATAGCTATTCTAGAAACAATGTTTAGGAACAAACATTGTGTACGAATGATTATACCACCTTTATATTTAGCATTACAAATCTAGCAATGACAGGTAACCTGAACCCTGAATGCTACTGCCGTGTAGTGTGGGCAATAACATAACAGCTAGCCGCGTCTGGGCTGTACCACCGGGAGTCGCCCGAGCAGAAATCATAATGTCACCTGAACAATGATAACCTGTTGTGATGTCTCATAGCATCGCAGAACGATTAACGAAAACGTAGAAACGTATAAAAAAGATATGAAGATCACAAGGCACCGTACACAAGGGGGGATCAAGCGTTTTTAAGCGGAAAATTCAGGAAGGACTTGCAAAGGAGGAAGTTACATTGCATATTTGTAAAGATTAAAAGGGTTTAGAACGTGTGTAGCATAAGATGTCATTGTGACGCATAACATGTGGTATTTGTCTGACACCTGTGTTTGTGTAGGCCTCTTCACATCGCTGTAGTTCAGGGGAACATCCCCCTGATCGAGCGGCTCCTG